CCTCTTGTTTTTTAATCCTCATTGGTAGTGTCCTTGATGGACAGTCTTCCAGATTTTTCTTGAACATCCCCGGGGATGGGAACCTTGGTACAGTATTTTCCTTTTCTAGGCCTCAGTTTACCCTTCTAGAAGGTGGAGCATTAGCCTAGGTGAGTTCTGGGGTTTCTTTCAGCTTTTAATTTCTTGTTGGAGTTGCAAAACTCCCCTGGCTTTTGTCTCTGCTCCTCTCCAAACCATTTTCCACATAGCAGCTGAAGGGATATATATGGATTTTTTAAAAATACACAGTTGGATGGAGATTCTCACATTTGATCATTGCACATTTATACATGGACTGAATTAACACACTGTACTCCATAAATATGTGCAGTTAAAATCACAATGGCCTACAAATATAATCAGCCCTCTGTCCTTGGAGTTCCATATCCTGATTCATCTATCCTCAGGTCAAAATGCTTTTCTAAAAATCCAGAAAGTTCCAAAATGCAGAATTTGCCACATATTGAATACTGTGCTGCATCCATACAAATATGTCATTGTGTTAGGTATTATAAGTACTCTAGCGATTATTTAAGGTATACAGGGGGATGTCTGTAGGTTCTGTGCAAATACAGTGCTATTCTATATAAAGGATGTGAACAACTGCAGAGTTTTATATCCATAAGGTTCCTGGAACTAGCAGCTCATGGATGCGTGGCGTATGGGTATATTAGATCTGTTCACATGCTTCCCTCCCCCATTAAAACTCTGCAGTAGAACCACACAGCCCCACTCCTCTCTGTGGCCTGGAAGCTCCTTGTCTTCCAGCTGTGGCTCCCTCCTGCACCTCCTCCTTCATCCCCCACCTCTGCCTTGCCACCATGCTGTCCTATGCTCACAGCCTCTATCCCAGCCCCTCTGCCTTTGTGCCTCCTGCCTGCAGTGTCCTTTCCTCGGCCCTCCTGGGGCCAGCTCCTTATCCTTTAGTTCTCAGTTCAAAGGTCTTCCCTTCCCAGGTCACCTCACCTAAGTGCCCCCCCACCTCCATTGTGCACCATCACAGCAGCCTTTGGGGGCCTCCCTAGCACTCACTGTAATTTATAATTAATTGACCTTCGATATCATAGGAGGATTAGTTCTAAGACCCCCAAGGACACCAAAATCCACAGATGCCCAAGTCCCTTGTATAAAATGGTGTTCTCATAGAACCTGTGCATATCCTCCCATATTCTTTAAATAATGTCTAGATTATTTATAATACCTAAGACAATGTAAATGCTATGCAAATAATTGTTAAATCACTAAAGAATAATGACAAAGGGAATAATGACAAGGAGTAGTGACAAGGGACAAAAGTTGAAGATACAGAGGGTTGATTGCATTTATATGCTATTGTGATTTTAGAGTTGAATATAGGCGCATCTGTGGCTGGCCTAACTAAGCAGCACCTGTCAGCAGCAGTGTAGCATTTTCCATCTCTGGAGGTGGGGACCCTGGGTACACAGGATGGGTGGATATACTTGTCTGCTGGTTTGTGGGCTTGCCATTTTCCCAATCTCCAAGGGCAGAGTCTGAATCTGTCTTGTTCCCAGTTGTATCCCAGGACCTACAGAGGCCTGGCACACAAGAGATGCTTAACAAATGTAAAATGAATGAACAAATGAATAGGAGCCATTCAGCCCTCCGTGCTGGAGACTTGATGAGGGAGGGTTGAAGGCTACCGAACAGATTGGAAGACTTTAATAATACTTCCTGTGTGTGGAGCTGGCCAGGTGGATTTGGAAGCACAGCTTTCTTTTCATCAGGAACTCGCCTCTCTAAAGTGATAGCCACCCCCTGCCTCCTGCAGGATGCCTTGACCTTTTCTGTGGCTGTGTGAGTTGCCCAGGAATGGTGAACTAAAACAAAGGATGATGGGGCGAGCCAGGCTGCCCACATCCAAGGCATAAAAACAGTCTTGTTTCTGTGAGCCAGACTGGGGAAGCATTAGGGAATCCGAGTGCAGGGCTCTAGGATTTGTTAATTGTTTCCTGTCTGCCTGGAAAGGAACTCAGGGCTTCGCCTCTTATCATCAGTTTTGCAGATAAGGAAGTGGAGACTGTGCAAGTTGGGAAATGGTGAGTCTAGAGCTTCTCAGCTCCACAGCTAAAGTTCCTTCCTTTCTGCCTGCTTCTTTGAGATAAAATCATGTTGGGTTTTGAGAGGTCAGTAAGCATCTTAGCCTGGCATTCCCAGCTGGCTCACATCTTGTCCTGATTTATCTTTCAGTTTGTGTCTCTTCTCACCTAGGTGTTCACACTAGACTCTGGCTTCGGGCCTCTGAAGCTGTTCTCTCTTTTTTTTCTTCTTTTTCTCAGGGTTGGGGTCTCGGTATGTCATCCATGCTATCTTTGAACTCACTGTGGAGCTCAGGCTGGCTTCAGACTCACAGTCCGCCTGCCTCAGCCTTCTGAGTGCTGGGATTACAGGTCTTCGCCACCACATTTGGCCCCTTTTTCTGTTTTGAATGTGGATACCCCTAAGAATTCATTTGAAGAGACCCTGCCTAAAACCACTTTAGAAGCCACTGCCAGGCACAGTACCCCATCATTCCTAAGCTGGTCTTTGTTTCTCAGTCCACCTACAGCCATCCACCATCCACCATCATCTCTCCATCCAGAGCCTCTCCTTTCCTTCCCACTGTCCAAGTCATACATGTCTGACAAGGTACACTATGATGACTCCAGCTTCAGAGACCTCTCTCTTCCCCCATCCCCATATTGGTCTCGACTAGGTGACGTGTATGAGAGACCCAACTTAAACTGGCCTCAGAGATAACTCAAGAGGTTGGATGTGCCTCACAACATAATTATAAACAGAACAGTTCCTTGGTAGCTTAAACTACAAGCAGAACCAGATAAAAAGGCCAGACTGTTTCCTCAGCTGTCTGCTGATGGCTTTGTTTTTAGGTAGGCACCTCACCAATGATAGTAGGATGGCCCTAGACCAACAGTTTCAGAGGAAGAAAGCTTCCCTTTCTCAGAAATTGGAGCAGAAGTCTCAGAACTGACTCTTTACTGGCTCTGATTGGCCCAATTCAGGTCATGCATTCACCTTTTTTGTCCTTCTTTTTTTTTTTTTTTTTTTTTTGCAGTGCTAGAGATTGCGGGTAGGGCCTTCCACTTGCTAGGCAAGAGCACTACCTCGGAGCCACAGCCCCAACTCCACACCTCTATTTCTAAGGGTCTGGACAGAGGTAGAGAAGTTGGTTTTCTGGATGAAAGTTGAGGTGTTCTGGTTCAAAAAAGGGGTAATTACTTGAGGGCAAAAACAACAGCTGTCCACAGCCCACACGTTAGTCGTCTTCATTGATATAGAGCTTTTGTCTGTTAGTTAGCTCCCCATTGTTGTAACAAGTACCTAGGATAAATCAGCTTATAAGGAGAGGTTTATTTTGGCTCACAGTTCGGAAGGTTTCAGTCCATGGTTTCTTGGTGGTGTTGCTTTTGAGGCTATGGCAAGACAGTACATCGTGGCAGGGAGCATGTGGTGGAGCATGTGTTGACCTCATGGAGGCTGGGAAGCAAAGGGACAGGAAGGGGCTGTGGTCCTACTCTCTCCGTCCAGGGCATGCACCAGTGACCTACCCTTCCTTCCACCCAGCACCCCTTCTTAAAGGTTCTACCATCTCTCAATAGTGGATTAAGCCCCAGCCTTTGTGGGGCATTTCAGATCTGGACCCTAGCATTTGCTAACAAACCCTAGCTCGTGGAGGGCAGAGGCCCTGTCTGTGACCCCATGGCTCAAACAAACCTGAGCCCCCTCATGTACACGGCACATCTTTGTGTCCAAAGCGTTGTCACACGTGTGTTTTGAATTGTCACAGCTGTTCTATAACAGGCCATGAGTGGCTTACAGGTGTTCAGATCCCTTAGCCCTTAGGTGTCCGCTGGCCTCCAGGGTCACTACAGTCCCAGCCAGGTGCTTCTGACCCCCAACAGCCACCCCTACTTTGCCCAAATTTGTTGTCAATACATTGTTTCCTGTGTGTGCCGCAGCTGTGACAGAGGTTGGGTTGGAAACCTAGCCCTGTGGTAGGTGAAGTGGTTCTCATCCCTGATTGATTAGATCCTCACATTCATCCTGGGAAGCAGAGGAAGCAGAGGGGAAAACTGGAATTCCAAAGGAAAAAAAAGACTTGGCATGGGTCCTTCCGGTAGAAAAGGCAGGATGGCTCAGCCTGTGGAAAATAGATTTCTAAGAGCTCAGATCTACTTCTTTCTCTTGGTAAAAACTAAGGTTTTCAGTGTAACTCATAAGGACAGCTGGGGCTCACTGAACTGAGTAAGGTACAAGACAGTAACCCCTGCTTCTGAGCTGACACTGCTGTTGCCGCCCTATAATGGTATCACTGAGTCCTCTGCATACCTCTGCAGGTGGGAGTTATTGTACCCAATGTATGAGAAGGAAACCAATCGCTTCTCGGCCTTTTGGCTAAGATCAAGTGTGGAGAAGGAAACCAAGTCTCAGACCGCCAGTAACCTGTCTGTCTGGTCACTTAGCATAGCTGAGGTTGAAACCTGAGTCTTTTTGACTCAGAACCTTGTGCTTCTTGTGGATCCCAGAAACAAAAGACCCCCATCTTATTTCATTTTGTACTGCTATAACAGGGTACTCTAGGGTAATTGATAAAGAACAAAGATTTATTTCTTACAGTTTTTGGAGACTAGAAGTCCAACATCAAGGGGCTGGCATCTGGCAAGGGCTTTTTTACTGTATAATCCATTGCAGAAAGCACACAGGCAGGAGAGAGGAGAGCAGGCCAAACTTGTTTTTATAATGAACCTACTGTCGTGATAACGAAGTCATTCCTTTCATGAGAGCAGAGCCTCAAGACCTAATCACCTTCTAAGGTCCTGTCTGCCAATGCTTTTGCGTTGAGGCTGAAGTCTCCAATTCATGAACTTTGGGGGACACATTCAGACCACAGCAGCCACCTTGGTGTTAACATCTGTCTCCCGTGTCCCTCCCTGCAGGTCTACATCATCCGTGTCACGTGGTCCAGTGGCTCCACCGAAGCCATTTACCGGCGCTACAGCAAGTTCTTTGACCTGCAGGTAAGGAGTCATGGTCTCTGTGAGCTGCAGGTTGGGAAAGAGTTTAACTGGACTTACTTTCCACTAAGACATTAGGCTCTAGACTTTTTATTTCCTCAACTTAAAAATTACATCCATTACTTTGGAACATACTTTGTTGCTTTATGCTTTGATAGTTAATATTTTCCAAATAGAAGAAAAGGATTTTCCAGAAGGGAGAATAATATGGAAATCATTTCCATATGGCTTTGGAGTGTGATTTTGAACTTGAGTTTCAAACAGTAATTGTGTTCGCTGGTGAGCTGCATGTGCTGCATTTGTCTGGCCTTCTCAGACTCACTCTCACCTCCTCCCCACAGCCAGGCCTTTGCACTTGGCACTTCTCACGTGGAATGCTACCCTGTACCCTCTAACCCACTTGTTGACTCAGAACCTCCTTCTTGTGTTCAGGACTCTTGTCCTATGGGAAGCCTAGTCTGACTGTTCCCTGGCCAGCAAGGGCCACCTAATTTGTGCCCCTACAGCCCTGTGAGTTTCCCTATAATGAAGTTGTCCATTTACTTGTCTCCCCTTCTAGACCATGACCACATCTTCTTCATCCTCCCTCTCAATAATTTATTCATAACACAGTACATGTCCAGTTGGTGTTTGGTAGGTGAATGGATGAGTGAATGAATAAATGAATGAAAGAACACCATGTGCATCACCAGTCTCACGGTGAGCCAGGCGGTACATGGACAGCTTAGTATAAACGCACTTACCCTACAGGGAAACAAGGCTAATTCCTAGACCAGTGGCTTTATCTTATTGTTACCAAAGGCAAGCAACTCAGAGCAGTTATAACATGTCATAGTCCCTCAGGATTTGATGTAGTAAAGTGCTATAGGAAATCCTTGCCTCAGAGATGAGGACAACGTGCCCAGCTTTCTGAACTTTTGTGCATCTTCCTACCACATTGCAAGGGGCCATCTCTTCTCAAGCCAGTGCAAGTTAATCCTGAGATTACTGTCTTTGTTCTGTTATAGTCAGGACATTTCTGTCATAAGTGACAGAACCAACACAAACTTGTGTAAGTAAACAAGGTCATGTTTTGTGGTTGGTGTAACTGAACGTCCTGGAAGAAGAAGCCTTCTGGGCTTCAGGCACAGCTTAATCTAGGGTATTCACAGTATTACCTATCTGGCATCTTCCCTTCATTCCACATCCTTGCTTCCATGGTGTTGTGTTATCTTCAGACCCCACATGATTGTAGAATGGCTACAGCCCTCTGAGCTCATACTCAGCAAAAAAACCAAGAATCACTTCTCAGAAGTCCCAGCAAGTAGGTTGTTGTATGTCATGGGCTCATCTCATGCCAATCAATATGATAGTTTGTCAGCCGTCGAGCTTTCCTGGATATGTTATTTACTTGCTTTCCCATCACTGGGACAAAATAAGACCCACAACTTAAAGGAAGAGGGGTTTATTTTGGCTCACAGTCTCAGTGGGTTCAGTCCTTGGTTGATCAGCTCCAACACAGAAGAGCCTGGCAGAGAAAAGCTGCTCAACCATGGTATCCAACAAGCAGAAAGAAAAGGGAGGAACCGGGGAAAAGAATATGCCCTTCTAGGCCACACCCCAAGTGACGTACCTCCAGCTAGGCCCCACCTCCTAACAGGACATTCAGCTCCTGACCTCGATAGATGAGTCCACTGACAAGCAAGCACCGCAATCACCTTCCACATACATGATACTTTGGGGGGACATTTTAGCTCTAAACTGTAATAACTGAGTCCCTGCTTTACTTGTCAAGGGGCTGGGGACTGAAACTCGGAGAGAGGTAGCTTCACAAGCAGCTGTGCACAGAGGCAAAGCAGGTATTTCTAGGCCAACAGAAGTCAGCCCCTGTCCCTTGCATACCATCCTATCTCTTTGCTCACAGGTTCTCCCAGAAAGTTGGATGATAGTCATATGGACCCAATCTGTTCCTGAAGATGTCAAACAGAATTTTCAGAGCCCATGTCCCATTATTGTAGAGGAAGGAAGATAATAATATGTTCCTAATGGCTTGCTCCAGTATCACTACAACAGTCTCAAACACCTTCATAACAAACCGCCAAGAGTTGTTACAGCATGTAAAGCAATTAAGATACCAGTCACCCAATTATTTAAAACATAATAAGCTCAATTTGTAATGTTTTGTGTTCAACAGTATGCAACCATATCAAACAGTATCATATACAAATTATAATTTTCATCTGCTCTGCTGCAAACATGAGCTGAATGTAAACAAAGAGGCTATATGTTTTTTTATTTTTTTCTTTTTTCTTTTTCTTTTTTTTTTTTGCGTTTTTGTGACAGGGTTTCACTGTGCAGTTCAGGCTGGCCTTGAACTGGCTTTGTAGCCCAGGCTTCCCTCGAACTCCTGCCTTCCGAGTGCTGGGATTACAGGCATGTGCCACCACGCCCAGCCCTGAAGCTATATGTTTAAAATGTCATCTAAAATGGGGCCAAGAAAAAAATAAATAAATAAATAAATAAATAAATAAAATGGGGCCAGGGAAGAACCAAGTCTTGGGGGAAAGGAAAGGGAAAAGTCATCCTGCCCAACACCTTCCAATACCATGGGCACATATGTCTGCAAATGACAGAGGAACACATGAAGGGCAGCCACATTGTTTGACCCTGACCCAGAGGTGATTTATGCTCATTCTTTCAGGCAGGTCTTCAGTTTTGAGAGCAAATGTTAGATGAGCACTTCTGCAAGTTGCTACACAGACCTTGTAGGCAGTGGGTTTCTGAGTAAGCAGGGCTACCTGGGACGTGCTTCAGGGGCCCCCTGCCTACCTAATACCTCCTTGAAGGAACAGCGGGGCTCATTTGAACGCACAAATCAAAATCCTGCTCAGCTTGAAGACAAGGGTGGGACTGGATTTATGAGAAGAGAAAGGCACACGTCCTAGAATCCAGAGCAAAAACTCAGCCAGCCTCGTAAGGGCTAGAATTGGCTGGCAGCTCCGCGGCCATCTGTCACTACAGCCTCAGGATCTTCCATCATGCCTGCTTTGTTTTCCTGCCAACCTCTCTGGACCAGCCTCTTCACTTTGCTGTCACATTGTCCACATTGGCCAAGAGCACGCCCTGTTAGCGCTACCCGTGAGTTGAAGTGGCTTTCCTGTTGTCAACAAGCTGGAGCTTCTGGGTGCCAGTTAGAGGCCCAGGAGAAATTCTGGTGTTCTCAAGGGTCCTGGATCAGAGTCCGTGCAGCCTCCTCTCCCTCAGAGGAGAGCCAGGAATCACGGAGGTGAAGGTGACGTTCTGCTGACACTCTGAAGCCTGGGGCTACACTGTGTTATCTTCTCCACCATAGCCTAGGTTCAAACCACAACTTTACCTTTGAAGGTCTCCACTTGATGTCCCCTCTGTGTTTCTGAGCCTCAGTTTCCTGATCTGCACAAGAGGAATGAAAGTGCTTGCCTCCTGTGTTTGTTGTGACATTTAAATGAGATGCGCCTGACTCAGTAAGCATGTTAGCTGTCATCTGTCTCTCTGCACAGATGTGACTTGCTCCGGGCGACATCCTTTAGGACTGCTTAGGCCAGAGTTTGATCCTGGGTCTTCCAGACCCGAAGCCTGTGCTCCCTCTGCTCTCCAGTCCTGATCCAACTTTATTTCTCCCAAACTTAAAAGTAAGGTTCTCATCACCACTGGCTCAGCATAATTGGGAACAATTGGAGGTTTGCTGTCACATAAATAGGTGCCTCAAGCAGTCTGTCGTCCCTAGAACAAAGTTGTCCAAAGTCAGGGCTTCAGCTGGCTCTAAGGAGTCCCAGCTGCATGGCTGGGTGGGAAAGTCATGGAATTCCAGAGGGTCGGCTCCTGCTGGAAGTGGCCTTCGCCCACCCCGCATCCACACCAGACAGGAAGGGGGAAGAGATGAGGGAAGAACCACCCCGGTCCAGCCCAGCTATTCCCTAGGACCAGGCCAGGAGGCCAGCCTGCGTGGGGCCTTGACACCCTCAAGTTAGATGACTTCATGACTCCCCGTCCCCTCCCTCCTGTCTGGCATGCAGCCTTGGACTTTTTCACAAGTGACTTGGCTCACAGAGTGTGGGAAGGGCTGAGGCCTCATGGAAGAGCAGCAGGCCCAGTGTGGCGTAATGGAAAAAGCTAAGGACTCAAGTCAGGAGACCTGGGCCCCAGCCACGCGCCAGCTGTGTGGCCTTGGTCACATCCCTTAACCCCTCTGTGCCTGATTGCTTTCATCAGTGACATGGGTGATGACAATAAAAACAGCTGGTGTTTCTGGAGCAGTGAACGTGGGCCCTGTCTGCTAAATATCTAAATGTAGTCTCGTGTAATCTTCATGACCGGCTTACCAGAATTGCACAGATGAAGAAACTCAGGCCCAGAGAGGTTCAGTCATTTTCCCCAAGCCACACAGCTAGCGAGTGTCAGCTTTGAGGCTGGGTAGGTGACACCAGTGCTCTTAGCCACTTTGCTCTCTGGTTCTTCTCTCTCTACTGGCCATTTGACAAGGTTCTTGTGAGTTAAAATTGAAGATTATCTCCGAAGAGGGAAATTCAGCAACAGCAGACTGGTTGCCAGAGTCTAGGGGGAAACTCTTTCTAGGTATCAGGTATCTTTTTGGGGTGTAAGAATGTTCTAGAATTAGATAGTTGTTATGATTTCAGGACCATGTGCATATACTAAAACCCACTGACTGGACACTTTAAAGGGGTGAATTTTAAGGTATGCGAAATAAATCGCAATTTTATTATTTTTTTTTTTAATGAAGGTGATGACGTGCAGGTCTGCTCTAAACACAGAGCAAATGTCAGGATTATCGATGGACGGGACTGCTGGGAGGAATTGGCTTCCACCTGAAAGGAGGAGCTGATGCCAGCCTATTAAGATCCTAGGCTTTGGCATCAGACAGAGCTGGGCTTTGATCCAAATTCTTCTACTTCCTGGCAGTGAGGTTTTGTTTTAGTCAGGACCATTTTAGGTTCAGAAACCCAATCAGAACAGATTATTTAAAA